TTAACGGTTGGACTCGATGATCTTAAAGGTCTTTTCCAACCAAAGCGATTCTACGATTCTATGATTCTATGAAAGCACCGTGCAATGTTATGCCATTCACAGCAAGCACTGCTGAGTCCTGGATGGTCCAAATATTCCCATAAGCTTTTTCAGCTGGCTTACTAAAAAACCAAACCACTGATGAGCAATACCACACACTGATCAGTAAGGATGCAAAGGTATTTGCTCCAAGTGGATTTCCCGTGTTTCACCTGCACATTCCCTGTTTGCCCCTTACCTTACTCCCCATCCTCATTCCAACCTTTTTATATTCATTAAATTTTTGTTACTTCAAGCTGACTTCCCTTTTAGAGCAATGCTTTTTATAGTTGTCACTACATGCAGATCAAATTACAGTTTTTAAATTCATGTCTGGAACTGATGAACTCAGATTCTGACAGTACTTTACCTGTAACCCTACCTCAAATTTCACATTTCATACTATGCACTACAGAAACCCCAAACCCTGTAATCATCCTGAACAGGAGTAGCCCCACAACAGGGTAGGCAGCACTTCAACTTCACAGATGTGTCACAGAGTAACAGGAGAGCGGTCTTAAGAATTCTAAAGCATTGATCTATAAAATGCAATACAAGATGTCATACCCTGATGCACTCCTCAAACGTCAGAAAGTTTAAATAGTTGTTGAATGTGAAGACATATTTGTCCCGAAAACTCAGAGCTGTTTATAATGCTTTAACTAGTAACAGAACCAGTGTTCTCATTCATGGGTGCAAATCACTGTTTACATGCACACTACACAAATACTTTCTGAAGAAATTCTGGCAGAAATTTTCAAAGGACCCTGCAAGATATTTTTTTGGTATAGTCCAGCTCCCTCAAACAGTAAAATTAACTTTCAACTTCATCACAGCTAGGGTCAGTAGGAAACTAGGCATTATTCCTACTACCAGAATTTCAATGGAAAAAACACTCTTTGACTTATTCCTATAAAGAAGCAATGATTTTCCATGGGAGAAATACTTACAAAGCAAGAAAATGCAGAAGAAAGGGAAACTCCACCCATCTGCCATGAACAACTTGGCAAGGCTTGCTGTTTGGAGTCAAAACAGTGGCTTCAATCCCCCACTTTCTAAGCAATTACCTCTTTGTCCCTTCTTCTCTTCAAAAGCAGCTGTAGACATTTGCAAAGCCTCAGCGATAACCTCACTGGAAGTCCTCAGCAGAATTCTCCTTGGCTCAAAACTAACATAAAATCTAAGAACGGGAAGACAGGTTAAGGATAGGCCACTACTTACCATACCATCCAAATCTCTCCCTCGCTTGGACTCATCTGTCCTTCTGCAGCCCAGTCCTGTACTCAGCCTGGACTCTTTGCAACACAGTCATTCCTTCTGCCTTGACCTTCATAGCATATAGCACAAAGACCACTCCTCTGGACTAAGCCAACACCTTAGTGCAGCATTGCATGAAACAGGCTTCCTGATAAGAGTCAGCATTTAAGGTTTAGATGTCGCTGCCTAATTGTTTATTGTATTTAATTTTTCTTCCTTTCTGGTTTGTTTATGAGGAATTCAGAAGCTCTAGATTAAAGGAAGCGACCAATACCTTGTCATTTCAACACATTTTTTTTCTATACTGCAGCTCTTTTGTCTGTACCCCATCAAGGTACCCTTGTTCTCGCTCATCGTCACTTTTGCTAACAGAGAAAAGGGGAGAAAATGTGGCACCTCAGTTTCCCAAAACTCACTTCTCTAACACAAATTCAGAAACAGCTGACAAGCAGGCAGAATGACAGGTTTGTGCCAAAGCACTTTGTGCTATACCTACAGCACAGGGAGGTGGCTGCGATGCCCCCAACTAGGTCTTGATATCATAGGTCATATTTGCCTCCATACCACCCTAAAATAATCCTTTCTTAGAAGGAACAAAATCTTATTGGATTTATAGGGAGAAAGAACCATAGAATGTTTTGGGTTGGAAGGGACCCCTAGAGGTCATCTAGTCCAACCCCCCTGCAGTGAGCAGGGACACCGCTAACTAGATCAGGTTGCTCAGAGCCCCGTCCAATCTGACCTTGAATGTTTCCAGGGATGGGGCCTCCACCACCTCTCTGGGCAACCTGTTCCAGTGTTCCAC